TTTCTCATGTTGTCTGTTATTTCTAGAACATGAAAGCCTCCTTTAAAGATCTTCTCCCAGTTACAGCTGTCATTAGTGTTGTGGACTTTTCAGCTTGGAAGTTACGGTCAGTCAAATTCCATGCACTCCATCAATGGTTGTGGTAATGACCTTGTGCTTCATAGATATCCAGTGGTACAAGAAAACCTACCAGTGGTGCTTCCTGAAACTTTATCTGGGCATGACCCACTTTGTGAAGTTCTCTGGAAAGGTTACTCAGAACTTGTCTTGACTGCTCTATGGTCCCTTAAACATAAATGATTACCCTTAGCTTTGTTGATTCTGTAGATATGACCACTACCCTCAGTTGGTCAGTAGCCTGGTGATCTGCTATGATATTTAGTATAGCAGGTAGCAGTCAGCATAGCTATTAGTTGTCACATACATACTGTAAGTACTGATTGAATGACCACTTTGACAATAAAGAGTTTCATGAGTAGTAGCATCACCGCTATTGGTAGGATAAGTCAAATCACAATGCAAATAATTGTTAAAAAAAAAGAGATTATTAAACAAAAATTACCAGCATACTGAAAAGTATATATAACACCTCTTAACATAAATAAAATTACAACTTTTGCATATAAAATCTTCCTAGTGCACAGAATGACATGAAATATAAAAAAAACATTAAAAAAAAGTCCAACATATTTATTCCACCACTGAAAGAATCAGTGAAGAAATCAAATGCAGAGATCCAATAATGTGACATCCACATGTTCCACCACCTTTCACCAAATACTTTCACCTGAAAAAAGGTTTCAGACCAGCAGCACAGTATAATAACCAATGCCTTCACCTCCAGGGGTGATTGATGATGCCAAAGGCTCTGCCCCTGCACGGTTCTGACACGCACCTGTGGTAGTGAGCCCTTGTAGATCGTCAACTTGGGGTTCCCCAAGGCGTGTAGCCTAAGCCCCAGTCTGCTTTTTTACCAGAGCACCTGATGGTGAGGATGGACTTGTAACAAGCTAGAACCAGGTCGCGGCCCCCAGATACGCCGAGCTGAGGATGCGGAGACCACTTGCGTGTGCAGAGTGTAATGGCTGGAGACAATAGGAAAGCCGATAGACAAGCCGAGGTCAGGACAGGTGGAAATCAAGCACAGTCAGTGGACGATGCCAGGGTCAGCACACGTGTTGTCAGCTGCAGGTGTAGCATCAGCCAGGAGCTCCAAGAACTAAGATGTTGCTCAGGCAAAGTGGGTTAGACTGAGCATGTCTTATATAGACAACCAAACTAGGAAGTGGGCCAGGAAGTGATGGAAGGGAAGGAAATAAAACCCAGAGAATAGCAGATGATGCCCATAGGTGAGCACAGACAAACACACGTGAAAAGAATCAGGAACAGTGTTGCAGCAAGGAAGTAAGAATACACAAACAAGAAACTGCAGGCTAACTTGTGACAGGTTTGTGACTTTGTCTGTAAACTCAGACATGTCACAGATTGTTAAATATATGGTTCACAAAGAGCTCACCAAGACAGGTCTGATGATAAACCTGAAAACTGCAAAACCTCCAAAAGAAAGCCTCAAGGACCCAAAAAAATGTTGCTGATAAATAAGTCCCTAGTCACCAACATATTGAGAAATTGCATAAAAATACAGCTTATTGTGGACTCAACTAAAATATTGGGTTTGTTTAACCACTTGGCTACAGAGCACTTATACCCCCTTCCTGCCCAGGAATGGGATTTTCAACAAATATTACAGCTATGGTGATCCTGTTCTGGCAGAGATACCACATGTGATAAAGAGCACGTTCCCTTTTCAGGAGACCTGTGAATTACCTAGCTTTGCAATTTTGTATATGGAGCACATGTATCATTCCTGAAGGGAGTTACTATTATTACCAATTGATTTGTTCATGAGTGGGTATTCCCCTCTCAGGGGTTATATTGGGATCTGTGGAGTGTGGTATGATTTTTTTTCCTTTTTTGTTTTTTAGAATTGTCTGTTGAATTAAGAAATGAGTGTGCCCCGCTGACCACCGGCCACCTTTGAATTATTGCTTTTGCATTATTAATATATTTAAACAAATCCAATATTCTGGTTGAGTCCACAACTAGCCGTATTTTTATGCAGCTTCTTAAACCTGAAAACTACAGAGGTTGGAAATTTACCTTCAAAGCTACAATCGGTGAACTAGATATCACAACTATAGAAGAGCTAGATCTGTTTATGAGGTGGCTAGGCCCCCATTTGCAGAACGTATCAAAAGACTCAAAGCTGTTCACATTGAAAATCCTGCCGCAGGTCTTATCGTTGCTTGGGATAAACGTGAGCTTAACTTTGGCAGCCCAGAAGCCATTGAGTATGTGTTACTTAAAAGGTTGAAAACATTACCAAAAATATCTGGCAGAGACATTGTAAAGTTTCAAGAGCTCAGTGACCTTTTCTTAGAGCTTCAGCCCACCAAAGCTGATACCCACCTGTAACGCCCTGCAGGTTAGTCAGATAGTTTTTGTTAGATAAAGGCTGAGTAGAAGCCTGGGATGAGTCAGCCTGTGAGTGAGGCAGGAGTTCACCTCAGAACAGGCTAGGAGGCTCTATCAGATCAGAGTTTCTGGAGCCCTCCCACTTTTACAGAAACCTGAGAGCTTTTTGGAAGAGGGGAGGGAAAGGGAAGGAGGCCAAGATCTGCATGTTTGAGGTACCTTCTCCACTCCCCTGACAGGAGTCTGGGCATGGTGATCATGGCAATTCTTAAAAGTGGCAGAGCCTGTGCAACTTGGGAGAGTTGGATTGAAGATGGATTGAGGAAGGTTGGAGTGTGGAGCCTGGGAAGAAACCCCAGGGAGGGGGACTGCTTACAGGCTATTGCTGGAAAGAGAATATCCACTGCCTCAATGTCTCCCACGGTGGACATCCTGTGTAGCAGGGAAAGAGCCAGTCCAGCATAAGGCCTGAAGGCAGCCACCAAGCTAATAGGCGAATCAAATTCAGCGGTCCCTAAGGGGTAGTGATACACACCTAACTGGCCTCAGTTACCTAAAAACCACTTATGGGGTTAACCCAATAGTCTCCAAGTTACCTTAAGGTATACAGGAAAAATAAGCATTACTTGGATCAAGGTACAAGGAAGAAAATAAAGTTCCCTTTCCTCCTTTTTTCTACTTTTGCGTGTTTATTAGTATTGCAAGTATGATTTAAGTTTCTCCTTTTGGGAGTCCAACCCTCTCGGTCCAACTTCTCCAAAGCCTGGCAGCTTATGGACTTCACAGAGACACCACAAAGGTCCAGTGTCTGTGAAAAGGACTGATATTCTATCTGAATCTATGACACTCCCTGATCAGGACAAGAAAAATGAGAACCCAAATCGCCAATGTCCTATACATAAAATGATATTAAAGACATTGTTTTGTTTTAAAATAACAAACATGTTACACTTACCTGCTCTGTGCAGTGGTCTTGCACAGAGCAGCCCTGATCCTCCTCTTCTCGGGTCCCCCGCCAGTGGTTCTGGCCCCTCCCTTCTGCCAATTGCCCCCAGAACAAACGGCTTGCTTTGAGGGCACCCAAGCAGGCTCACTTTCGAGCCACTGCTCTGTGTATCCAATTTCTAGATCCACCAACAATTGCATAGTACAAGGGCCTTCCTGACTCAAACAAATTAATTGGATAGATTAGGTAGGTCTTCATATTACATTTGGTAAATCTAAAGTTGAATGTACAAAGATTGTATGGCCAGGGTGACAATGCTGCAGAAATGACAACATTGTCAGCCTACAACATATCAACATATTTTTTTTTTTGCTCATCTTTTCACTTTAATTCTATAAATCCATCCTGTAAATAATTCTCTTATTTATTTTCAGAAGAGAGTGTGAAAAGAAAATAGCATTTGCCATAGCAACTGGTCAGATATTTGCTTCCAACTCATAACCTCTGTAGAGACATGATCAGACTTTAAACAACATTAATTATTTTTTTAACAAGTACCATCATGTTCAAAGTAGATCCAAGCCAGTGACTCAAACCTGACATAACTTTTATCATGCTATTTTTTTTTTTTTAAAGTAAGTTTCAATATTTTCACATCTAAAATATTACTTGGTCTAAAAAGATTACTTCAGAAAAGATTATTTGGTAATCCTGCCATTAAAGTCCTTGATCAGGTATTTCCTTTTTAAATCTGACAGCACACTGTTTTTGTCTTCCAATTGCTTTCCTGTGCTGTCACCCTGTAACACAGAAAGTTAGATTTTTATCTTGCCCATCTTCTCAGAGAATCAATAGTACTGTAGTCTTTGGTAGCCATGTAGTGTCTTAATTGGCCACTATGTCACTCACCTAGTCTACAGGGAGTTGCTTACAGCTATTCCTTCTTTGGTAGAGACATATGGTCTTTAAACATTCCAAACAAAGGGCCAGTTTACTGTCCTTCAGACCTTAAGGGGCACACTGTGGCCATTGGGAATAGAAATTGTCTTGACATCAGTGGGAGTAAACAGTGCATTTTTGGCATTAAAGAGAAAATAGTGCCCCATCATGTATCAAATAGTGCCCTCCCATTGGTATCGGTGCAAGGAATAGTGCCCCATTGTTGGTGTCAATTGGAGGAATAGTACCCCATTGTTGGTGTCAGTGGGAGGAATAGTACCCCTTTGTTGTGGCCAATGGGAAAAATAGTGCCGCATTGCTGGTTTCAGTGGAAGGAATAGTGTCCCATCATTGGTGTCAGTGGGAGGAATAGTGCCCCATCATTGGTATCAGTGGGAAAAATAGTACCCCAATTTACGATCTTCAGACTTTAGGTGGGCCGAACTGTGGGAGTAGAAAATGCCTCAGACTTTGTGTCAGTGGGAGTAAAAAAATATTAAGTATAGGAATAGTGCCCCATCATTGGTATTAGTGAGAGAAATGGTTCCCCATCATTGGTATCAGTGGGAGGAATAGTGCCCCATCATTGGTGTCAGTGGGAGGAATAGTGCCCCATCATTGGTATCAGTGGGAGGAATAGTGCCCCGTCATTGGTATCAGTGGGAGTAATAGTGCCCCATCATTGTATCAGTGGGAGAAATTGTGTCCCATCTTTGGTGTCAGGTGAAGGAATAGTGTCCCATTGTTGGTGTCAATTGGAGGAATAGTACCCCATTGTTGTCAGTGGGAGGAATAGTACCCTGTTTTTGGGGATCAATGGGAAAAACAGTGTCTCATTGTTGGTGTCAGTGGAAGGAATAGTGCCCCATTGTTGGTGTTAGTAAAAGAAATTATACCGCATTGCTGGTGTCAGTGGTAGGAATAGTGCCCCATTATTGGTATCAGGGAGAGGAATAGTGCCTCATTGTTGGTTTCAATTGGAGGATTTGTTCCCCATTGTTGGTGTCAGTGGAAGTAATAGTACCCCATTGTTTGGGGTCAATAGGAAAAACAGTGCCTTATTGTTGGTGTCAGTGGAAGGAATAGCACCCCATTGTTGGTGATAGTAAAAGGAATTATACGCCATTGCTGGTGTCAGTGGGAGGAATAGTGCCTTGCATGAGTGGAAGGAAAAGTGCCCCAAGGGCCAGGTAAAGGCAGGCAAAGGGTTGGATCTGGCTCCCAGGCTGCAGTTTGGAGACCACTGATTGGTATCAGTGAGAGGAATAGTGCCCCATCATTGGTATCAGGGGGAGGAATAGTGCCCCGTCATTGGTTCGGGTGGAAAGACTAGTGCCCTATTGTTGGTGTCAGTAGGAGGAATAGTGCCCCATTGTTGGTGTCAGTAACAGGAATTATACTCCATTGTTGGTGTCAGTGGGAGGAATAGTGTTTAGCATAAGTGGCAGGAAAAATGCCTCAAGGGCCAGATCTGTCCCCTGGGCAGCAATTTGGAGACCACTGGTATAGGCCAAGAGTTTAGACAGGCAGCACCCCAGAGTTTCACTAGGTATCACTGTCTGTTAGTGGGGGACACTCTCGGTACTGTTACAGCAGCCCTTTATTAATTAATTCCTCCCCAATGCTCAGCAATGTCACTACCAGTCACTTATGTTGTAGGAGAGGTATTAAAAGGTCACGTGGTTTGTACAGTCACGTATGGATTAGTCTGCAGCCAGGAGAGGTATAGACTGTAGTTTAATTCATGTTTCCCCTCTGGGGGGAAGCTTGTGACCTCTTCCTACCTGTGAGATTATACTATGGCATGAGCCATGGATGGGGACTCCTGGTATCTATCCACTAACTTTAAGGAGTTCTTCATAACTGTGTTTGTATTATTTTCTTAAGCACAGTTCAGTAAAGCATTGCATCAGTTTGGACATTGCATTATTCTTAACTAACAGGAACTTCTCCTGGAACGTTTCCATGCACTTTGGAAAAGTGGCATCTCTGGCTGGAGGCTCAATGTCAGATAAACCGCTGGATCCTGGTCATGCCAGGCTCAGTTGCCTTTAGGGCTTTCTAGAGGATAAAAAGCCAGTGAAGGGCCATCCCATGATTGGAACCAAGGGATGCCCCATGTTTAGAGGACTCCCATGGGCCATTTCAGCACCACTCACTGCCAGGGTCCAGAAGGTTAATAAATCTATAAGTGCTGCCCAGCTACATAGCAGTAGAATATAGGAGTGCTACTAAGTCAACAAGAGAAAATTCCCATCACTCCAAACTAGATATTTGAGAAACATAGTGAAATGAGCACACCCATAAATTATGTCATGCAAAAACACAGACTTCCATTGTGGCAGCACAGGTGATTCACATTACACAGATACTGTATTTTTCACCATTATCACCATCAGGATGAAAAAAAAAATAAAACAGCATTTTCTTGTGTATAAATTTCACATATCCCTGCATCTGCAGCCAAAATGCACTGCTCTTTAACAGACGCATGAGGATGTCATTGATTCCTAACACAACATGTTTTCAGAAGCTTGAAACCACATGGAGCCAAAGCACCACACCGTTCCATTTGGCAGCGTTTAAAAAAAAAAAAAAGGCCAGTAGCTTTTTCCCTGCAAGTTACACCACCCCACAGATGTGAACCTAGACTTAAGGAAAAAATGGCTATTGTTTACGATACATAGTACTTTTTCAAATACAGGAGCGCTTTGAAATTCCAACTGTTATTTATTGCTACCTACAACGTAGACATTAGTTTAGTGGTAATAATTGGGTTATATTAAATTTCCCTTTGAGGGATTATTAGATCACAAGATTCCAGAGGTCGCTTTATTATTATTATTATTTACAGTCTTTACTACAGGAATTTACACAGCAACAATAATTTATGTATTGATTGAATGCCGTATATTCTCATCAGTCCCTGCCCTCAAGTAGCTTTCAGTCTAGGGTCCTTATCTCATATGCATATAAAGACACATACTAGTGCCAATTTAGACAGGAGCCAATTAATCTACCAGTCTTGTGCAGACCATCCCGTCTTTTTTTTTTAAAAGTGTGGGAGGAAACCAACACAACCAGTAGAGGTAAAAAAAATTGAACATGCAAAACATGCAACAGCTCCATGCAGATTAGTGTCTGCACTACTGTAGCTCCTCACATCCATAGGGCCCACAGAAACATGCTAAGGTCTCCCTTGCTCCATTATAGAGACTGCTTCTACAGATACAAATAGATACATTGCAACCACCAACAACACAGGCTCTTTCTAGTGGATGTTCTTTTGTGTGGATTTTTTCTTTTTCAGAAATGTAAACAGATGAGATTTAAGGGTTTAGAATACTCCAAAATGATAGCAGAAATTAACAGGAGATCAAGGTTTCTTACAAAATCCTCTTGAAACAGCTTTGAGTGGAGGTATAGAAAAGGCCAGTAATTTTAGTTTGCCCCTGTGAGAGCAGACCCAGTCCATGCAGTATGATACCTATTTGGCACTCAATTCCCTCTAGCACATGGGTCGATCAAACTGGCGACCCCTCCAGCTGTTTCTCCAAATTACAAGTCCATGAGTCATTGCAAGATTGACAGTTACAAACATGACTCCCAAAAGAAATTCCTAGGCATGATGGGACTTGTAGTTTCGCAACAAAGTGTTTTGTGTGGAGGAACCACACAAGTTTTGACACCCCTGCTCTAGGCAATGCACACTTGAGAGCACAAAACCAGGTCATTTGCAGGCTATACATGTGTCAAATTCCAAAATAATTTTCTTTAGAAAATAGTAACTAAGAATTTTTTTTGAATTCACAACCAGTAGAGGCTGCAGCATCAGCTGATTTTTTTGTGGCCCTCTAATCTGAAAGATCGGGCATGTTGAAAATTTTTTGAAAAACACATTTATAATCATTGATGGGAGAATCGTGTGAGAAATACAATAAAAAAAGAAATGAGCATGAGCAGTGACCTGGAAAGAAAAGAAGATCCCCAGCCACAAAAATCTTTTCTGTAGTATTATGAGGTGAAATTTAGAGTTTGGTTGGTCAAATTTCGACATAAACGGTGGCACCATTGGATTACAAAATGCATGCAGTATGCAGTTTCAGATTTCAGAAGTTTGGCTAACATGACTCAACACTTCCATTAGAAGGTTTTATACAATCTATAATATGTTTTTTATGATGAATGATCAGTTTAAACTTCAGGTGAGCTAATCAGCAGGTTCCTACAGGGGAAACTTTGATTGCAGCTTTAAATACACCTGCCACTCCAGCCGCAATTATTGAAATAGCAGTTCTGAATGCTGTGAATATAGAATACTCTGTATGCAAGGCTTCCATCTTCATAAATTTCTCATTCAGTTAATGTGGCTGTCATTCCTAGCGGAGTGCTCCAGAATCATCACAAACCGATGGATGCACTCAAATGAAAATGATCATATCAAATAATATTTCATTTCAGACTATGCATGGCAATGGAACAATTTCAATAAGTCTCCATTAAAAATACATGTACAGTATTTGTTTACCTGTAGTATGTTTATAAAGGTGGTGTTCATGTAAAGTGCACCTGTTGATCTTCCAGAAATGCACTCAGCTCCTAGAGCCAGCCATACATGGATCGATCCTGAAAGAATTTTCTTTAAAAAATCGTAAATTTCCTGCGTTTCGCAATCCAATGGTGCCACCGTTGCTTTCGAAGTTCGACCAATCAAGCCTTCAATTTCACTTCGTGTTGTTACAGAAAAAAAAGTTTGTGGCTGGGAATATTCTTTTCTTTCCAGGTCACAGCTCATGCTTGTTTCTTTTTTTATTATATTTCTTGAGCGATTCTCCCCATCACTCATTAGAAATTAGTTTGTTTTTCAAAAAATTTCCAACATACGATCATTCAAATTTGATGGCTGCACAAAAATTGTCTGTTTCTGCAGCCCACTAATGGTGTTCAGTACTGTTCAGTACTGCTTAGACCTGAAGAAGGGGACACTCCCCGAAAGCGTGTCCTCAAAATTGTATGTTAGTGCAAATAAAAAAAGTATCACGGACAGTACTCAATTGTTTCTGTCGCAAATGCACTAATACGGCTACAATCACCTCACTTCAAGCTTTTTGAAAGAAAATTTTTTCAGAATTCAACCTGTGTATGGCCGGCTTAAAGCCTTATGCAGACCATACATGGGTCGAATTCCAAAAGAATGTTCTTCTGAAAATCTTTTCTGAGAATTTTCATTTGAATTTCACACCATTAGTGGGCCACAGAAATGGCCAATTTTCATGCGACCATTGAATTTGAGTGATCAGGCATGTTGGAAATTTAAAAAAAATAAACTAATTTCTAATCAATCATGGGAGAATCGTGCGAGTAATATAACCGAAGAAAAAAAAACAAACACAAGCTGTGACCTGGAAAGAAAAGAAAATTCTTGGCCACAAAAATTTTCTGCAGCAACATGAGGTGAAATTGAAGGCTTGGTTAGTTGAATTTCAAAATCAGTGGTGGCACCATCGGATTACAAAACACACACAAACTTTCCAATCTTCTAAAGAAAATTTGTTTGGAATTCAACCCATGTGTGGCCGCAGGCCGCAGCAGGCCATACATGGGTGAAATTCCAAACAAACTTTCTATAGAATTGAAAAGTTTGTACATTTTGTAATCCAATGGTGCACCCACCAATGATTTTGAAATTTGACCAACCAAGCCTTCAGTTTCACATGTTGCTACAGAAAAGAATTTTGTTTGGCCAAGAATTTTCTTTTCATTCCAGGCCACAGCTCATGCTCATTTCTTTTTTGATTGTATTTCTCGCATGATTCTCCCATCATTGATTAGAAATTTGTTAATTTTTCAAAAAACATGCCCAATCACTCAAATTCAATAGTTGCACAAAAATTGGTCATTTCTGTGGCCTACTAATGGTGCAAAATTCAAACAAAAATTCTTAGAAAAGATTTCCGAAAAAAAAATATTTCGAAATTTGACGTATGTATGACGGGCTTTATTGTGGGCTGACAACGCAGTATTTATTTGGATGGTGTGGTGTCAGCCCTGCCCAGTTACCTTTTGCTAAACTACTAAACCCCGCCCTCTTTTCCTGCTCCACAAAATAGACTCTTATCCATGGCCACTAGATAACAGCTAGGAGGACTAATTACATTCACTGTGATAATGCCGGATGTGTGCATAGGACAGAGGGCATCTCTGAATTTCAGATGACAGATTTTTTTTGCACTTGTCAAGCAGATATAACAAAACACTTTCAATTGTATATTTAATAGACCAATAGGGAGCAAATAAGAGAATTTTATTGTTAGAATTTTCATATACTGTACTTTAGAGAATATGTAAGCCCAGACTTTTTTTTGATTAGAATAAGGAATGGGTAAAACCCATTTAATGATCCAATAATATGTTGATTTTGCAGTGTTGATCTCCTCAGATGTATTACATTTT